TCTACTGAAAAACATATGAATATCCATTTTAAAGAATTTTTAACTCAAATAAAAAGATGACGTTTTGTATGATTGTGTGTGTTGTGTGCGTGTCTCAGGTATGGGCCTCTGTTTCGGACTAACATACTTGGGTTAAAAACCGTGGTTTCGACGGATATGGATGTGAACATGAATATTTTACGACAAGAGAACGAGTATTTTTGTTTGAGCTTTCCGGATGGTTTAGCCAAGCCATTTGGAAAAGATAACGTGTTCTTCAAGACAGGCAACTTCCACAAGCATATCAAACAAATCAGTATGCACTTTTTGGGCTCCAAGTATTTGAAGCAAAAGATAATAAAAGATATGGACCGCGTGACACAAGAACATCTTAGCTTAAAGAATAACCAAGAAAGTTTCAACGTTAAGGACGCAGTTTCAAGTGTAGCTATCTATTTTTATTTTTTTTTCCTTTTCTTTGATCGATTTAGTTATCATGAACTTTTTTTGTGCTAGTCTGACACTCATTATCCTTTTTCAATTGTTATAGTTGATAACATGCCACTTGACACCAAAGCTAATAAGTAATCTCGAACCAGAGACTCAATCAAAGCTTGTGGAAAACGTCAAAGCCTTTAATCTTGATTGGTTTCGGTTATCCTATATTCTTTCTGCAGGGAGGGGTCTCTATAATACCCTTAGGGTGAGACTTATATTTTTTCCTTTTATTTTTGCTAAATTTAGTTTCAACAATAATAATATATTACCATAGTTTATTAATTAAATTTTAGTTTATATCAATTAGGATCATTCATACATTATGAGGAGTTATCATAAGTTTCTCAAAGTATCTATTGAGAAATTCACTTAAGGAACTCTTCTCCCTCTATTCTACTTTTTCTATATATATATATACTAGGTGATTTTCCCGTGCTCATGCACGGACCTAAATATTTAAAAAATAAATATATTATAATAATTGATTGATATTTACTTTAAATTTTAAATTAATTTATAATTCGTAGGTATAGTTTATATTAATAATATTATATCAATAATATCATATTAACTTAATTATATATATAATTTTAGAAATGTTATAGTTCGTCGGTTTTTGTTTTTACGGTTGATTTAGTTATCATTTGGATATATTAGATTCTATCTATTTATCTGAATTCAACTATAATCTTTTTATTCTATTGTTAAATTTCTTATTTGCATTTATGCCGGTTATTATCTTAGAAATATAAGTATATCTAATAAGATTATGTATAACTTAAGATTTTTTGTGCTTAGAAATAATAAAAAAAACAAACGGTATGATTCTAAATTACATACATAAGTAACTAATAAATTTTTGGAAGCTTATGAACACATATCAATATTTAAAATATTTAGATTGATTGGATGGTAAGCTGAAATTATTTTAAATAATTTTTAAAATAAAGATTCCGATTTGCTTAAGTATTTTGATTATGGTTATATTAACTTTCACAAACATAAAAGCAGAAAATTAAAAATCAAAAGAGTTATTAATAAACTATATAATTTTAACTATTAAAATATAGTATATATCTTCTTCGTTAAATTATATAGCGCTATGATATTTTAAAATAATTGTACTTATTTGATCACAAATGTTTATTATTAAAATTTATTTTTAGTTTTGTTTTTAATATCTCTTAAAATCTGCAGTAAAATGTTATTTTTTGAGAAATTATGTTATATATAAGTAAAATAGAATTTATATTTTTTGCTGTAATTGTAAGATATTATAGTCAAATAAATATACTAAAAATTTGAAAAAATATATATTTCAAGAATACTAATTATAAAAGAATTTGTCAATTAAACCTATATTAGTTTATGTTACTTAATTATTTTATGTAATCATCTAATAAAATAGATAGATATATACAAAAAAAATAATTACTTTGAAAATATATATATATATATATAAATATTTATTGTTTATTTTTTTTTTAAATATTTCTTTTCTAATATTAAGATTAGTTGTGTGATCTTCTTTTTATGGAATCACATTATATACAAATATTATTTTTCATCTAAGAAGATGTAGATATAAAGTATTATATTACTTCAAAAGTATATTTTATGTTATTTAAAATATATTTAAATTAAATATTACTATTTTGTGAACTTTCTTTTTTTATGACACCATATTTATATATACTTATATTTTCGTTTTTACATATTTTTTAAACTTTATAAATGTTTCATTTTTTATTTTACATTGTATTTGGAAAAGTTTTAAAAAGATATACTTATATTTTCGTTTTTAAATAGTTTTGTAAACTTTATATTTTTTTCCTTTTTATTTTATATTGTTATTTGTAAAAAATTTAAAAGGAAATAATAATATTTAAATATATTTTTTTAATTCATTAGGGGTAGCATAGTAATCAACCAGCGTGTGAGTTAACGTGAGCGCGACACATAAGAAAATGACTTCTCAAATAATATTATAGAGAGATATATATATATCGGTAAGATACGAGATGTTCTTCAAGAGTTTCTCTCCAAATATCCTAAATGTAAAAAGAAAAAAGATGATATAAAATCTAAAAACCTTCTAACATCCTAAGATAGTATCTTACATGTGTGATCATCTAAACACTTTACTTCTTTTATTTTTATAAATCTAAATACCAAAATTTAATTATATCTATACTGCTATTTAAGAAATCATTTTGTTGATTTTTCATTTTTCCATGATTTTAAGTTGAGTCATCAAATTTTAATAAACAAATTTAATGATTTAGATAATGAATTTTAATTATATTTGTGATAATTAATATGTGTACTAAATACTAGCAATGATATCATAGTGAGAGGTTTATATTTTCTATGATTTTGGCCTAAATTATTAGTTTAAATAAATAATTTTAGTGATTTATCTAATGATTTATAATTATATTCAGGATAACTGCTAAATGATTATTAAATACTAACGTTAATATCATATTTAGTTATATCTCATAGTAGTTCTGCACGATATTTTTTGTATAAATTGTTGATAATATATAACTTTTTGGTTATTATTCAAGAAACGATTTTTGTTGATTATTATGTTTATGACTTTAGACTGACACATTAATTTCAATAAATAATTTTATTGAGTCATAGTTTTTAATTATTAAATAGATATTAACAAAATTTGCCGATAACATCATAGATAAGTTTATCGTATATTTAATTTACTAATATAAACCGACTCTATTTTAATGTATCTCTATAATATTATTTGACAAGTCACTTTCTTAGGTGTCGCGCTCACGTTAACTCTCACGATGGTTAATTACTATGATACCCTTAATAAATTAAAAATACAATTAAATATTATTTCCTTTTTAAAAATTTCCAAATAACAATATAAAATAAAAAGGAAACATTTATAAAATTTACAAAACTATTTAAACACGAAAATATAAGTATATATAATATGGTTTAATAAAAAAGGAAAGTTCACAAAATAGTAATAATTAATTTAAATATATTTTAAATAACATAAAATATACCTTTGAAGTAGTAAAATACTTTATATCTATATCTTCTTAGATAAAAAAACAATATCTGTATATAATGAGATTTCATAAAAAAAAAATTTCACACAAAAAATATTGCTATTAGAAAAAGAAATATTTTTTCCTTAAAAAATAATTTTAAACAATAAAATATATATATATATATATATATTTTTTTTTTTTCAAAATAATTATGATTACATAAAATAATCAACTAAGATAAACTGATATATGTTTAACTGACATTTTTTATAATTAGTATTATTGAAATTATTTTTTAGTATATTTATTTGACTATAATATGTTACAATTACAGTAAAAATATAAATTCTATTTTACTTATATAGTATAATTTCTCAAAAACAATCACTTTTTAGTGAATATTTTAAGAGATACTAAAAATAAAACTAAAAATAAATTTAATGATAAACATCTTTTGATCAAGTAACTACGATTATTTTAAAATATCATAACACTATATAATTTAACGAGGTAGATATATTATATTTTAAAAGTTAAAAATATATGTTCTAAGAATAAGGATTCTGATTTACTTAAGTATTTTGAATATGGTTATATTAAGTTTCACAAACATAAAAATAGAAAATAACTACAATTATTTTAAAATACCATAACACTATATAATTTAATGAGGTAGATGTATTATATTTTAATAGTTAAAATTATCTGTTTTCTTAATAATCTTTTGATTTTTAATTTTGTTTTTATATTTGTGAAACTTAATATAACCATAGTCAAATACTTAAGCAAATCAGAATCCTTATTTTTAAAATTATTTAAAATAAATTTCAGTTTACCATCCAAACAATCTAAATCATAAATTTATTTAGAATTTATAAAATATGTTAACTATTGTAAATATTGACATGTGTTCAGAAATCTTCTAAAAAATCATTAGTTACTTATGTATGTAATTTAGAATCAGAAACTTTAGTTTTTTTTTTCCTTCTAAGCACAAAAAAATCTTAAGTTATATATAATCTTACTAAATATACTTATATTTCTAAGATAACAACCAATATAAATGCAAATAAGACAATTAATCAAAAATTTAATATTTTAAAATATAAAAGATAATAGTTGAATTCAAAGAAATAGATAGAATCCAATATATCTAAATGATAACTAAATCGACCGTAAAAACAATAAAACAGACTAAATATAACATACCTAAAATTATATATATAATTAAAGTAATATAATATTATAATATAAATTAGACATACAAACTATAAATTAATTTAAAAATTAAAGTAAATATCAATCAATTATTATTGTATATTTATTTTATAAATATACATGTTCGTGCTCATCCGTGCATGAGCACGGGAAAATCACCTAGTATATATATATATAAAAAATAATAACTTTATTCAGCAATATATCCTTTGAAGAAGAAGCCACCTTCTCAGGTTTTTATTGCAAATATTGATCCGGTTTAAAACTAAAACAAGATTCAAGGTTAAGGTACATTTTATTGAACGTTTAATTCTGTATTGTATTATTTTGTGACTTGATACTGATTTATATTTTTTAAACTAGGTGTTTTGCCCACATATGTGAACTTAATAATTATACAAATATTTATTAATATATATTATCAATTCAAGTATTATAAAATAAATTGTTGTTCATACATTTAAAATATTTAATAATAAATTAAATGAAAGAATCTTTATATATACAAAGTCTCTGATCATAGATAAATACTTTATATTAAAATACATTTTTTGTATTTCTTTATCAAATAAATTTTTCTTTCATTATTTATTTTTGGATAACTTTTACTTTATTAATTTATAATCAATAATAATCTAATCTAATAAATAAATCTAACTATTCATTAAGAATTATATAAAAGAATTATCATGTTGTTTATTTTGCTTTGTTTGTTTGTGTTCGAGAATACATAAATATTGTTTTTATAATTTAATATTTTTGTTATATTCACAGTTTCTAAAATCTATAATTATTGATAATAGACTATATGTATTACTGTTTCTTTTGTTAATGATCTAAGATTTGTGACTATTTTGAATGCTTTCAAAATCATTAGGATTCTTTTCAGTTCACAACTACAAGAAGTACTCGATTTCAAACCCAAGTGCTTAGTGATCCTTTAGTTATTAACAAAGAGAAGATTTTAATACAAAATCTATATCGCGAAATAAAAAATAAAAGAAAAACATAGTTTAATACATCAATTGTCAATATAGATATTGAAATTCAATAATTTACAATACTAACAAACTTGTTAACTCTGTTTGAGTTCTTACTACTGTGTTAGTAATTTACAATACTAACAAACTACTCTCTCACGTACAAACTACTGTCACCCATTGGACTCTCATATAGTTAATAATATATAGATAAGAGAGTAGGGATTTCTACGTGCTCTTACAAACTAAACACAAAACCATGATTAGTATAATATTTAATGCAGGCATGCAGAGAGGGGAAGAAGTTGGTGAAGGATATCTACGCGAGGAGGAAAACTTCAAGAAAGAAGTATGATGACTTCCTCGAGATGATGTTAGAAGAGTTAGAGAAAGAAGAAACGTTAGTGAACGATGATGTGATTGTAAGCCTCGTCTTCACTCTTTTATTTGCCACTAAAGAAACAACCTCTACGGCCACTTGCATGGCTGTGAAATTCCTAGCAGAAAACCCAAAAGTTCTAGCTGAATTAAAGGTATGTAATAATATGCGCATATGGATCGAGAAGCTAGTAAAATAAACGGCACGGGGATTGTTTCCACTCATTGGCCAATATATGCAACTTAATTTGGCAGAGAGAGCATGAGGCGATCTCCTTGCGAGCAGAGAGGACAAACAAAGTGGAGTTACTTGGGAAGAATACAGAGACAAGATGACTTTCACCAACATGGTAACTTCATTTCTGCTTTTGTTTAAGGCTATATATTATAAGATTCACCTGAAGCTTTCTCAAAAAAAAAAAGATTCACCCGAAGCCCTTTTATTTACACTCTCCAGGTTATAAATGAGTCGCTTCGATTGACAAACTTGGCTCCGATGATGTTTAGAAAAGTGGTGAAAGATGTGGAAATCAAAGGCAAGTAGCATTAGCACTGTTAATTCCCCCAAGGAAAACAAAAGGTGACATTTTTTTTGTGGAAATATTTGTTAGAACAGGATACACGATTCCAGCCGGCTGGATGGTGATGGTTATATCATCGGTGGTTCATCTTGATCCTGAGATCTATGAAAATCCTTTTGAGTTTAATCCATGGAGATGGGAGGTATTATACACTTACTCTAGTCTTATGTATTTTTTTCGATTATGAAAACATCATATCTAATGTTTTGTTTCCTAAATGAACAACACAAATCCTACATTTAATTTTTTTTTGGTATTACATAATGTTATGTACATTTTTAGCAAGATTTATTAATTGCAATATATATATATATGAATAAGATGATGACAATGAGTCTGGTGGATGGGCAGGGGAAAGAGTTGCGGTCTGGATCAAAAACGTTCATGGTGTTTGGAGGGGGGATAAGACAGTGTGCTGGTTCAGAGTATGCGAGGCTTCAGATTTCAATATTCCTTCATCATCTTGTCACCACTTACGATTTCTCTTTGTCCAAAGACTCTGAGGTTGTTCGAGTACCAAGTCCCTTCTTCCCCAATGGCTTCTTTATGAACATCTCCAAGTGTTCTAATAAGTGACTTCGTTGGAGTACGACATCTTATCAGTTCATATACTATCTTTTAGTATCTTATCCGTATCTTCTACGTACAACACACTACGGTTTCAAAACCTTCTATGAATATCTACCGTAAGATACAAGATAATAATTATACAAATGTTTACACTTCAGTCAATGTCACTTTATAATCAGTCTTCATGGGTTTTTTAGAGTCCATTATCATTCATTAGTCACTCATACTACAGTCACACAGTGTGATATCAATATGTGATCAGTCTCCGCAGTTACAGCAGAACATCCTCAGAGGCTACTTCGAATGTATCTGAATGATTTCTCAAGCCAAACAAAAGATTATATTCTATCTTTAAAGAAACACAACATGAAACTATATCCACTGCTTGCATTTTCATCACCAGAAACAAAAATATTCTCTAGACATTATAATCTTACATCACGACACAACAGACAATACACAAAATAAATAAAAGGTGAACAAATAAACAATAAATATATTTTTCTATAACCCAAAAGCAAATTATTTGCTCACTTTCTCAACAGTTGATTCCACATTCCAGAATGTCCGGGCCAGTGACTCTTTTGGTGAAGGGATCGATCCTAACCCACAACAAGGAGAAGATCGAAGCCAAGAGAACAGACCAGACCACGACAATGGTAGGAGTTCGGTTCTGTCTCCCCATCAAACCCTTGAGGAAAGGGTACAAGTGAACAATCACCCAAAAGGCAAAGAACAGCTTACCAAAGAGTGGTCCCCATGATTGGTATCCACTATTAATAGCATAAGAGAATCCCGCAACAACTCCCACGAGGTTTACAATCAGCAGCGTTGTCGGCGGAATCAGAAGCGTTGTCCATTTGAACAAGTAGAGCTCCGCAAAGTCTCCGTCTTCGTCTGAAGCTTTTGACGTGACTGTGAAATTAGTGTCGATACCGGCTAGGACTTTGAGGAGACCTTGAAACACGGCGAATAAGTGAGCTGATACTCCACCAATGACCCAAAACTGCTCGTTTCTCCACCATTCATCTATCCCTACGCCACTCCACCTCATTTCCAGTATACCAGTGGCGAAAATGGACAGAAAGAGAGACAGAAACCATATACTTGCAATGTTACTAATCTGCAAATGAGAAACAATAGAACCAACAGCTGTTAAGTTTATGAACGTGATTAGAGATTGTTCAATAGACATAGAGAGAGGTGTTGAACCTGAGGAATGATGAACTGGTTGGTGAAGAGACAAACGGCGGGCAATGTACAGTAGAAGAGAAGAGGTACGGAGGTGAGTGGGTAGATGGTGGTATTTATATACGCAAACCTCTCAAGAAATTTAAGCCTTCCGCTGTAACCATACCATATAGGACAATGCCGACTGAAGAGAATCTCAACTGAACCTAGAGCCCACCTCAGCACTTGGTTCAGACGGTCTGAAAGATTGATAGGAGCAGATCCCTTGAAAGCAGGGAGTTTTGGCATACAGTAAATGGATCTCCATCCACGGGCATGCATTTTGAACCCAGTCAGAATATCTTCCGTCACAGAACCATAGATCCATCCAATCTGAAGAAAGACAGCACAAGAGATTAAAAAACTGAGTGCCAAAAAGGGTAAATCAGAACATTGCAGTTTCATGTTAGGAGGTAAGTGAAAAACATACTTCCATTCCCCAATCTGATTTATCCTCGTAACCACAGCTAATGACATGGATAGCCTCTTTGAGAAGGTTTTCAGGAGTTTCTGTAGGAGGAACACCCCCATTTTCCATTAGAGTAGAAGCAACAAAAACAGCAGACTGTCCAAATCGCTTCTCCAGGCTCATTTGCGACATCAAGAGCGCCTTTTCATCGTCAAATCCAGCACCTAAGTTTCACAAATGTCAAATATTTAGGACATGAAATTATTCAGACAATGTAAGCATTTTGCCCTAGCTACACCAAAATTTAGCAATTATAATTGGAAGATATATTCTTCATGAGCTGATATAATTAGAAGATATATACCCCTCCCCCAACTTAAAGCCAAAGAAGAAATAAAAGCAGTTGTACCTTCAACTCCCTCTTCTATGTCATCGAGGTTGAATACAGGAACAGTCGAGTCCGTATGCCTGCCTGATTTCTTTTTGTCTGACTCTTTCTTAGATTTGGAATTCTTCTTTCTTGATCCACCACAGAGCTTAGATAAAAGACTTGGCTTCTTGTGCTTTACTTTTATTGGAGGTTCATAACCATATAATGCTGTTCTGTTGAAAACACACCCAGTTCCCACATATACAGGTCCTTGTATCCCATCCAAACCTCTCAAGTTAATCTGTAAAGCATAAAAACTTATAAGCAAACTCCAGAAACTGAATGTTGTAAATGTATATTCATGTCTAAATCTAATCTGAAAAAAGAAAGAAAAAATAGATGAAAGTATAACTAGTGACTTACATCAAAGAACACGGTATTACGATTAGCATATCTATCGTTTTTATCAATACCATCGAATCTTTGTGGGAACTGAACATAACAAACTTGCTTCCCTAGGTTTGGGTCCATCAGGAAGCACATTGCTTCTCTCAAGGCCTTGCTGTTATTTATGTAATGATCACAATCAAGATTCAAGATGAAAGGTCCATTGGTAAGTACTGCTGAAACTCTGACCTGTTCATTTGAAAAAAAGCACTCAAATTAGACTAACAAAAGATGTTCAGAGAAAGAAGTCAAAACTCCGAGATCAGAAACCTACAAGTGCATTCATAGCACCAGCCTTTTTGTGGTGCTGGAATCCTGGTCGCTTTTCTCGAGAAACATACACCAAACGCGGAAGCTCATTGCCCTCCGCATCAAGTCCACCGTTTTGCCCTAAGAAAACCTGTATTCCACAGATGCTACTTCAACAATGAACTTCTCGATATATCATACTCAGTTACCATACTTGTAACCAGTTTCTTTACCTGAATCATTCCTGGATGATCCCTTGTATTATTTCCAGGCCATGGTGTACCATCTTGCATAACCCACCCTTCTTCAGGACATTTTAGAGCCTTGGAAACAAGTGCATTGATTCGGATCTTAAATTCCTCATACTCCCTCTGCAAGAAATAAAAGGTCAATATCAATATAGCATATACTAAATCAAGAGTGAGGGTGAGTACATGACTTAAACTACAAGCTTTACCTTCATGGCTCTGCGATCTTTGACAAATGATGTCTGAACTTTATCCTTCAAGTAATCTATTTTCGCAGCAAAATACCATTCTGGTGCGCGAGGCTCAATGCTATATTTCTTGCAGAATGGTACCCATTTACGAGCAAACTCTGATGTTTCTGCAAGTGCTTCAAATGATAACATGGCAGCACCATCATCAGAAACATAACAAGACACCTTGTCAACCGGGTAGTCAACCGCCAAAATAGAGAGCACTGTGTTGGCCGTCACAAGGGGTGGCTCCTTCAAGGGGTCAACAGTACTCACGAAGATGTCCACAGCAGCTAACTGTGACGGTTCACCTTCACGATCATATCTGTCCCAAAATAGAGCATGATCAGATTATAAAATATTATAGGAAGTCAATTCTTTAAGTAATTGCTTCAGAAGAATAGGGAATTAGAACATACCTTAAAGCAAGCCTGTCGAGGTAGGTTTCACGGTTAACAGGAAACCACTTGGGAAACTGATCCAAAATCCAGGAAAAGGCAAACCAGATCTCACATATCACTGAGATCAGCCACAGAGTGAAGGCATTTGGCACTGGATTTGTTACACGGTAATGCAAGAAGAGACATAGGATAACAAGTCGCAACATAATAACCATTCTGTATGGATTGATCCGTGACGAAGGAATCGAAACTTTCCTTGACAGAGGCTGCCTCGCTTCATCATTCCTGTAAAATAGATAAAATGGAAAATATCATTTACATTGCTTAATAGGAAAGGTGCTCAGATTACGCAGTGTCATAACGACGGATCAAACGAGAAAACAAAACAAGGACTCACAGCAAAGCCTCATCAGCGAGGATATCAGTGCTGGCATCAATATCTCCTCCACCTCTTTCGGAAGCAGCTTGTGTACTCACAGGACCAGTATTCTTCTCCTGCTTCATTTTCCAGCCATCAACTCTCTCCTTCCACGCTACATTCCCTAGTCCAATAGGATCCGAAATCCTCCTATTAGCTGCAGCGTCAACGACAAACATAGTTAAGTGTACAGAGTTTTCACATAGTGTGTTAACCTGATAGTAAATAAATAAAGATATTTACGTGATTGATTGACATCAGATGAATAAGGAAGACGCTTTCCACCAGCTATAGTAGAAGACACAGAGAGGCGCTCAGGTGAGGCTGCAGAAAACTCTCCTGAAGTCTGTATTAAAAAAAAAAAACAAAAGACAGACAAAATCAGATCCCAAAACTCCAATTTTCAAGCATAAACAAGAATGAACTTACATCTTGTCTACTGGTGAGACGAGGGAGATGATTGTGAGAGACCTCTTTGTCATACTCAGGTTGCCCCATCTCCTCACCTTTGCCACGTGTAAGATGCCATCCAAGCATCCGCTCTGAAATCTTCTCCTTCTGCGGGTAGTTGAGCTCAACAGTAGCAGCCTCATCAGCGAAGACATCCTCATCTTTATCACCGGGAATAGCAGGACTACCTACACTCATAAATTAACAAAACTATAATTAACTAACCTGATATGATTGCAACGATTAATGAAATTCAGATGGATTAGAAAGTATTGCATTATTATAATTACCCTTGTGCCTCCTGTAAGTGGTTTTACACTGAGGACAAGATTGATTCCCATGCTTCCTCTCGTATTCATAGCAAGGCCTACAAACCGGGAATCTACAGATATCACAAGCCGTAAACCGGTCACCATCAACACTCTTGCCAACATTGTCGTTACAGATCTGGCATATCTGCCCACCCATCGTCTTCCCCTACAAATATATGAATCACAGTTTCTAAAATTAGAAAACCAAATCAGATCTCTCTAAATTACACAAATCCACTATCTAAATAAACATACTGCGGTTTCTCCATCGGATTCCATCGTCTCTAACTTTCTTAGATCACCGAATCGTCGGGATAGTTCAAATCTGGTTGGAATTAATCAAAATGCAGAAAATGCGATTAGATCTGATGAGTAAGTCAAATCTGAGAAGAAGAAGAGGAAGAGCTTACCATGAGATCTGAAGATGGAGAGTCGTAGTGATGTGACTCTTCAGATCTCTCTGAATCTGCGATTCTTTCTCTAATAGAAAGAGAGATATTTGTAAGCTGCTATTTGTCTCTGCTCTTTGCCTCTTGTCACTCTTCTGATTAAGAGAAAATTAATATTTAATATTGTAACAAATCATATCCGTCGGTAGAAAAAAAGAGAGAGAGAGAGAAAAAAAAAAACATGTTCATAGCCAACCAAGCAACCACCATCACCGACAACTCCACATTCGTTTTTTTACCGTGTTGTAAAAGTGAAAAGCTTTTTAACCTGCCGATAAAACTTTCTAAAAAAAAAACTTATTACTCAGTCCTTAAAATTAGACGCTAAAACTACAATATCTGGGTCAGAGGTTAAAAGGCCCAGCTGTAGGAGCATCAGGCCCAATTAAAATTAGACCGAGATTCGATTTCCGGTCTTACTTCCGTTAAACCGAACCGTTGATAGACGGCGGTTACATAACCAACCATTCGAACCCTAAACTTTTCTAAGCAACCTCTTCTTCTTCTTCTTCTTCTTCTTCTTCTGCTCTCTGTCGCCGTTCCTTCGCCATCGCTGTACCAGTGAGTCTTGCCTTTTTTACTCAATTCGATAAATTCTTTGTCTTTCCATTTGGGTTTTTTCTTTTGTTAAGATATTTACTTATATTGAGTAAGAATCGTTCAGAACTTAAAAGATAACACGCTATATGAAAGCTTGAGTTTTGAAAGGTTATGATACTTAAGCTTATCTATAAACCCAAAATTTATACACTCTGTGAGCTTCTGGTCATATGATATTCAGTAAATGAGTAAATTGTGTCAATTATTACAAGATTCAGGCCTAAAGTATCTGCACTATCTTAGTTAAAGAGCTATGTATAATATATGTCCTGTTTGATTATGTTTTGAGTCTAACACAATCAGTTATACTTTATGTTTTGTTGCTGCAGCTAGTCCTGAGGTTAACAACTTCTTTGGCTAGTCTCCTGTGTTGGAGGGCAATGACTAAAGCTTGTGGAACTAATGTAAGTTTGGATGTATAATGTATCCCTTTTTATAAGTCTTGTTTGTATAGTGTTGATGTGTTATTTAGCTTTTCTGAAAGGGTGTTTATTTTTTCTGTTTTGGGTGTGGTAAAATTTTATTAGATGGAAAAGAAAAAGGAGAAAGTTGATTCTGGATTGGATATTAAGTCTATGGTTCATCAGCATAGTGAATATTTCGATACAATGGTAGAGCTCATCCCTGCGAGATTCTACTTACCTGATGAGACGGAAAGGAAGTGGTTTCCAGGTCTTAGCAAGGCTCAAAAAGCTAAAGCCAAGAGGAAAACAACTGAGAATCTTAAGAAAGCAAGGAGGGATCGGTTGGATCCTGAGAAGTCTGCTTTGACGACTCTTGATTTGCTGAAACAGAAGATAGAGAAGGAGAAGCTGAGTAATGAGGTTTCTGATGATGATGATGACAGTGAGGAGGAAACTGATAACCAGAAGGCAAAGACTGATTCAGTTACTTACGAGGAGCTGAGGCACCGTCTTCACCGCAAGATTGATGAGCTTAAAGGTGGTCGTGGAGGTTCAGACAGACCAAGAAACCATGAAAGGACCAAGAAGAAGAAGATTGTGCCTAATAAGAGAAAGAGGGAGTCAAGTTCTGAGGAGAAGACTGTTGAGGAGAATAAAGGTAAGGCTAAGCTGGATGTGGAAGAGGCTGCTAAGGACCTTACGTTCGGTTACGTCAAGATTGATGACGATGAAGAACACGGAAAGGATAAAAAGAAACGAAGGCTTTCCAAGTCAAGAGAGCTTGAAAGGGCTTTGAAGTTAGAGGCTGCAAAGAAGGATCCAGAGAAAGGTGAAGTGATTGCAAAGAAGCACTCGTGGCAGGCAGCTACAAACAGAGCAGCTGGTATCAAGGTTCATGATGACCCAAAGCTACTGAAGCAAAGCATCCACAAGGAGAAGAAGAGGCAGGAGAAGAACGCAGAGAAGTGGAAGGAAAGAGTTGAAGGACAACAGAAGGTTAGAGTGGAGAAGCAGCAAAAGAGATCAGGGAATATTGCTGATAGGATTGAACAGAACAAGCTGAGGAAGATAGCCAAGAGGGAGAAGAAGCTCCTGCGCCCTGGCTTTGAAGGTCGTAAAGAAGGGTTTATCAATGATGGAAAGTAAAAACTCAAATCTTCCAAGATGTGATCATCTCAGAGGCTGTGAAGAACATCTCTTACTGTTCTGGGAATTTTCATCTAGTCAAGCCCATAGCAATATCAGTTATCTTTTAGTTCGTTTTGTTTTGTAGTTTGCAGACTTATCAAATGTTTGTTACACAATGTGTTCCTTAAAGTTTTTGGTCTTATCAAGTTTTGATATAGAATTTAACTAAACCGAGTTGTATCCTGTTGATTTCGGTTTAGCCTGGCTCCATGTATAGTTCTAGCTGGAATCAATGGAGATATCTGACTAGACCGACGTGTCTATCTTGAACAGCGAGAGTACTAAATAAACGAAGTTTAATAATGCCGGAAAGAGAGTCAAAGTTGGTCGGCAAAACACGTGCTGCAAGAACAAGGATGTAGAATCTCGAAAACTCTATTACTCATCGCCACCGCCACACGTGTAATCATCGGCGTGTGTTTTAGTGTAACGTTTTAGCACACTCCAAACCTTATATAAACCACCAAGAGACCCAACCTCTAGTTTTCAACTTGAAACAAAACTCCATCAAGAAGAAGAAAAATGGATGCTATGTCTCAGACCTGCACAAAGATCATTATAAACCCATCTCGTACACCGATCAAGGCAATCTCACAAACCAAACTGAGCCTTAACACTGGGAAGGAGAGGTGCTTTGCTGCTGCTAGATGCATGGCTTCAGGCCCAGGTTATGCAGAGGCAATGGAGCCGATTAAGCCGGAGGAAGAGGAGGAACTGACTCGGAGAAGAGGCATATGCGGTGGAGAAGTAAACAGAGGAGTAGGGGAAGTCCTGGAATACCTTGAGAAGGAAGCTATCATGGGTGATGATGATGGGAGAGACCCTAAGGATTACAGCAGAAGAGCAAATATATTTGAAAAGAGTTCAAAGATCTTCAAAAACGTCAAAGAACAGAGAGATCACTCTCCAAAGTAAGAATACTGTTGTTTATTTCATTGTTTGTATGAATGTTATTAGTGTTTGATTCCTTGTAACTGCAATGTCCTGTAATTTTGTAAGGATCCTCTCATTGTAACACAACCTTAATAATGGAGATTTTCTTCTGAATATTCAATCAGTGAAAGCACATGTCCTAGACAATATGTTCTCATAACAGATAAATTACTATATGTTCTCTGTGTATGCACATTTGACATGGTGATACTTTAATTCAATGAAACACGCTAAGAGACGCATCATAAAGGAGCGTTTAAATATATGCTATAAGCCTGGAACATATCCGGATCATGATACAATGCATAGTTATTTTACTTGAATAATATTTTACTAATCAAACGAGATGTTTCTAAATTTCAGGTGTTAACTAACTCAGAAAATAAATCTAGAAAAGAAGAAAAGACAAGGCTGATGAGCAATGCTACTAGTGTTACAGATGCACATAGACTGAAAAACTCTGCTATGGAAGGTTATACTAAAGTAACTAACAGAAAGTTGTCAACTAAAAACCTTATATCAAAAACTAGCCAGAAGCTTAAAGGAATTCAGGTAAAGGCTATGCTCTCCTTTGATGCTAGAAAGTTGCAGGTCGAGTATATGGACGCTGCGGCTGCTCTAACGACCAAATCCTTATCTGAGATCAGTGCATCCGCAGCTCTGCAACACAATTCAGATTGAGGAAGAAGTATTTTAACCATGTAATGAGATGAACAAGTAGTGAAAAGGCCATACCTGGAGTACAATGGCATTCCTAACTGTAAGAAGTTCTGACCAGAACTCAAGCTCAAGTTTTGCAGACCTCGGTCACAATGCGATTGCAGCTCTCTCACTTGGTTTAACCAGTTTTCCTGAAATTTTCAAGCTCGTAAACTCAGAATCTGATGCTATCCAAAACAGGAAAGGTGTGTGGTTAAAGATATCTCAGATTCTTTACCAGTTGTTTCTCCTCTTCTGATAGCGTTTGTTCGAGTTGGTTAAACAGCGCCATCCATCTGTTCTTGTGGTTATCGACCGTGGAAGACCTTGAAGCTCCATTGATGAGTAAATTTGGGTCATTCTCTTGATCAGCTGGGAACTCCTTCATTATTAAGAAAGGTAGCTCTGTCGTCACAACTGCTCGAACCCTCTTCTTACTCCGGCGAAGAGCTGAAAATAACAACAAAAAAAGATTTTCAGGAACAAGCAAGTATTGTAGTTTTTCATTGCATCAGATGAATGAGTTGTTGGTAACCTGAAACACGGCATTTGATGTCCTGATGAAGCAATTCCAACCATTGAGATGCTACTGTAGCCGCTGCAAGTCATGATGAAAGATCGATTTAGGCAACTATGATAGTATAACATCATGTAATTGATAAATAAACTCAAGAACATACCTTTGACAGTGAGAACACTAGCATGGTTCAAACCTGCTGCGTCCTCGCTCAACAATGAACTAGCATTTTCTGTACCGTTATCTTCACTGAACTCACCATCTGCGCATTTCTCCTCGTGGTAGTAGCTATCTTCAGTAATGCCATACTTGCATCCTTGGCTAAAATCAAATCTAGAGACATCTTCCAAGTTCTTCCTGGAACCCCCAACTTTAGTATTACTCTCCCTCATCGAGTCCTCTTTATCAGACTTGACAATGTTTTGGATGATGGAAAGCACTTGCTTTTTGTTCCTAACATGGTTTATAATCCCAGGGTTCAGTTCATTGAGGAGTCCACAAGGAGCAGCTAACCTAGCAAACCTATCAGCTTCTTCTTTCCTCGCAACCTCTATCTTCCTCTTCTTCACCATCTCAGCATCATCCTTACTCTTGCTTTTGCGACCACGTTTCCTAGGAGCAGGTATCCCTCCGTGAGAAGACGAGACTACACAGCTACTTGATGTAACTGAAACACCACCGTGTGGGTTAGAAAGAAACCCGTTTTGTTTCATTGCTTTCCACAGCTTCATTGGATCGTTGGCTTCAACAGGAGGAGGAACATTGGAACTCCCACACTCTGAAGAATTAGATTTATCGCAAACCGATGATAAACCATCATTTTCAGCTTCATTTCTCTTTACACAGTCAACATCAGTCTTGTTATTATCTTTCGTCCCTTCTTTAACAAAACTCTGCCTTGTATTGGCCTTTTTATCTAATTCGTTGCCTCCTCCTATCTAAAACCCGAAAAAGTAAAACAACATATTTAATTAGATCGAGACAATTAAAAGACAAAATTATCATTAAACAAACAAGAACCTAAAACAAAGAAGAAGAAAAGAGTAAAGGTGTTACCTTTAAGTCGGATCTGGGAATAATAGAAAACCCTCGAGAAACATCCATTGGGAAGTCAATTATTAACTCGAGAAACCCTCGACGAAGAAGCCACAAATTAGGAGAGAATCTCAGAGAAAATCCAGAAATTGGGAATTACAGATTTCGTTTAATCCTCGAGTCCAAAAATGGAGATCGAGGGGGTTAGAGTGAATTGGACTTAGGGTTTAGGATCTGATGGTGAGATTAGTGGAGATCCGAATGTGAATTTTGAGACCCTAGAATTGGTGAGAGAGAGAGAGGGAGGAAGAAGTGAAGAAGAGCGCGCGATGTGGGGGTGTAGTTTAATAACTTCTGACAATAACAAAAAGTGGTTTTTTTTGGGGATCTAGAAAGGTATTCAAATTCAAAACAGGCTCATTCGTGATTTGGAGGGAATAGTGGTTCGGCCCTTTCAAATTGAATCTTGGGAGCTCACTAATTCTCTGGCCCTTTTAGCTCTTTTTAAAATAAAAAATAAAAAAAAACTTAAAAAAGTTTAATTTTTTTTTTCGAATAACAAATTTACACATTTCATTATTATCAGGCTTCTTCTCCAGTTAGAATTTTGAATTTTCAGTTCAAGACCTATCAACTAGTGGTTTAAAGGCCATCATTTACTTTTAAAAGTTATATTAGTTTGATCATATACTTTTGCATCTGAGATGGTCAACGGCTAGAAACAGATGATGGATACTTTTGAGTTTGATCATATACTTGTTGGCTCGATGCTTCTTCAGCTTGATGTTTTCTAACTCGAGCCTTATCGATTCTTGCTCTTCTCACAGCTTCTTGGATATGGCGGACATGGTCTTTTAGCACCTGATCCATGTTTCCTGATGGAACCACCAAAGGTCCCGAGTAATGAATCTTGTTCCCTTTTGATCCATAACCCAAAAGAATTGGGTCTTTCTTGTTGCTTCTACCATTCTCTTCTTGGCTTGCTTCTTCGGAGGTTTCCTTGAAGGAACCTGGAAGCCGAGACATTCCTCTGAAAGTCTCTTGTTGTGATGCTCCTGTTCTTGTTGCAGCAAAACCAGGCATTGCCGAGTAATCAGCAGCTATGGATGAAACTTTCTGAGGATCTTGGTAGTTCCTTCTTCCCTTTGCGGAAGCAGATCTACGCGTTAGAGGACCTGAATGTGAAGCTCTTTTGTGAAGAGGAAATTGGGTTAAGTTCCACTTGATAAGGAAGAGTTCCTTCTGGATGGTTAAAGATAATACTCAATCGGGTTCTTGGATGTGGAATAAGATTTTGAAATGCAGAGATTTAGCCAAGCTCATGTATAGGGTTGAGGTTAATAATGGAAGAAGAACATCTTTCTGGTTTGAGAAATGGTCCTCTATGGGTTGCTTAAAGGAGGTATTAAGATTTGGTAGTCAGATTGATATGGGTATATCACTTAATGCGACTGTGGAGGAGAGTTGGAAACATAGAAGAAGAGATCACCGTGTTCAAATTCTTAACAGAGTGGAGGATGAAATTGAGAAGAGCAGAAGAAGTCGTAATGATAATGAGGACATTTCTTTGTGGCTAAATGCAAAAGGTCAGAGTAAGAAGATGTTCTCTTCTAAAGATACATGGGAGTTTATAAGAGTAAAGCATCATATGTGTCCCTGGTTTAACGTGGTGTGGTTTCAGTATGGTACACCAAAGTACTCATTCATTACTTGGTTAGTAATGAAAGGTAGGCTTGCTACAGGGGATCGGATGAGAAGTTGGTCGAATAATATAAATGTTGCTTGTGTGCTCTGCAAGGAACCATTGGAAACGTTGAAGCATTTGTTCTTTGAATGTGAGTACTCATCTTACATATGGGTCTCTTTGATGAAAGGTATCTTAAGGAGTCAATTATCAGTTACTTTGGAGGATTTGCTGAGAGTTATGAGGGATCATACTAGATGCAGAGTAAGCTTGTTCATCATTAAATACATGTTTCAAGCGACTATTTACATGATTTGGAGGGAGAGGAATAGAAGGAGGCATGGCGAGTTGGAAGTCCCGGCTGATTCCTTAATCAAGTTACTTGATAAAAACATGAGGAACAAGCTCACTTTAGTGCAAAGAAAAGGGGACAGTAAGATTGGTGCAGGGATTCAACTCTGGTTCCTTACAAGATAAAAATATGGATGATTGAAGTTTTGGATTGTTGGTAGTTTTGACCCCAGTAGGAGTGAGAGCTGGCTGCTTAGTAGGAGTGAGGGCTAAGTAGAGTTGGGTTGAGATTGATTCCAGTAGGAGTGAGGGCTGGGTACTCAGTAGGAGTGAGAGCTGAGTATTTTTGGGTTGGTTAAAGGCGATAGAAGGCGACTGAAGATGTAGCAGAGTTCTCCTCAAAATTTTTTATCATTCTTGTTTTTCTCTTTTGGTTGAAAACAGTTAGACAAGGATACACATAGTTGTAACACAAGGTCTTTTTTCTTTTGAATTAAATTTAACATTCAATTCAAAAAAAAAAAAAAAAAGTTATATTAGTATTTAAATAAAAAAAATTTCAAAATGAAAAGTTTTCACAGATCTCTTACAATTCGAGGTATAAATGTTTTCAGAGGTTTCTTAAAAAATATTGATATAAATTGTGAAACGTAGAGAATCTCTTACAGATCACCAACCAATAGAATTACATTATTTTATATTTGGAAGACGACACATTTCCAGACCAAAAGTATGGGATCAAAGTCTCTCGTGACCCACATGGCATCGACAAAATCTAATATGACACAAGTATAATTTTAATTAATTTTACATTAAAATTTAAATACAAAAGAAGGGTAAATAACTAAAAAACCAGGAGACGTCAATTTATTTACGATCTGTGCCATTATTATTCCTGATCTATTGAAAACCTAAATTCCCAAATCAAAAAGGGAGGCTCCATCAAAACAGAATTCTCTCACTTTCGAATCTCTCACTTTCTCCATACAATCACGACCAGATTTTTCAATCTGTTGTTCTCTCTACCAAAAAAATGGAGCTTAGAGGAACTAAGAAGAAGAAAGAATCTCCACTGATGAAGAAGAACACTAAACCGGTGAAGAAGAAACGAGACAGGCCATCTCCAGTAGAAGAAGACGGAGGAGGCAACGGTGAGTCGTCAACTCAACCCAGTAAGCGACCACGGCGGAACCCTAAAAATCTACATCAGAATCCCGTTGCCTCTCCTACTCCGGCGGACCCTATTCTGGCTGCTTCTCCAACGCCGTCTGCTTCTCCTACTCAGTCCGACAATGAAGTAACACGATCAGCTGAAGCGGTGAAGTGACAAGATCCTCCACCGGCAAACACACAAGACCCTCCGGTTCCATCTCTTTTCGGGTCTTCCACTAAGAGGGGGACACCTTCTTCAGAACGAGAAGAAAATCCCGAGGAAACTGGGTTGAATCACGGTGATGCTCTCTCATCTCAAGAACATAATGCTACAGAGGTAAAAATCCGACCAACTTGAATTCATTTTTTTATAATATGGTACAACTATGATATATATTATATAGTTGTTCTAGTATATTTAGTTGTACTTAAGAGAAATGTGACTAGTACAACTGAAATAAGTTTAACTAGTATTACTAATACAACTATGAAATGCAAAATTGTGTAACTAGTACAATTACTTAAAGTTTAATTTTTAAGTAGAATATGTCAATCATGTATTACTCATATTTGTAATACAACTGTAATTGTATCAGTAGTATAACTAATACTTATCTAATTAGTAGTACTTGTACAACTGTTAAATGATAACTAGTATTACTTGTACAACTGTTATTTGTATAACTCGTACAACTAAGACATATTTAACTATAATTATAAATTATAAAACTTGTATCACTCGTACAACTACTATTTATTTAAGACTATTTATTACTTGTATAACTCATACAACTGTAGCATATGTAGCTATTTGTATCTAACTGGTATTACTTATACAACTAGTATATGTATTACTTGTAAACTCGTACAACTGACCATAGCGAGTTATTTGTATCTAACTGCTATTGCTTGTACAACTAGTATATGTATTACTTGTATAACTCTTACAATTATGACATATGTAACTATAAGTAGAACATATATAACTCTCATAACTGGTATTGTTCTATGTATTAATTGTATAACTCATATAACTTTAACATATTTAAGTATATATACAAGAGGCAATACTGGTCCAACTACAACTGTAATAGAATTTGTAATACTCATAGTACTAGTATAACACGTATATGTATAACCTGTGGTACTCTTACAGCTAGAACTTGAGAAACCAGTATAACTTGTATTACTAGTACAACTCCATAGTATTCCATTAGTAATACGAGTATTACTAGTATAACTCGTATATGTATAACTTGTGTTACTCATACAAGTAGCACTTGAGTAACTAGTATTTCTATTATTGCTAATAAAACTCATAGTATTTCAAATTTCAGTTGTATTAATTTTATATTTTGTTATGCAGGGTGAGGAGATGGCTGGAGGAGCAATCAAACCACACAAGTTTTACTTCCAACCGTCAGACTATGGGAAGCCTTGTAAGCTCTCCTCAAGGTGTCATCAACCTCATTTCATCAAGTTAATTAAAATTTTTGATGCAACCGAGAAGAAGTGGTTTCACGGGCACCCATAGTTCAAGCATATTTTCCATATGGATTGCTCCTCAATGAGAAAGGTCATGGGATTGTGGATGTTGTTGCTTCGCACCATAAAAGTCGATAAGAAGAGACAGGCTTGGTTTGTGGTAAATGTGAACTTATGGCGTTGTATTATAATTTTGAAATTTTTTAAAAAATTTAAATAAACTAGGAGAAAACTATATATTAGAGGGTACCAAGTTGCATCCTTGAAGTGATGGCAGCAAAAGCTTTTAAAAGGCCGAAGAGATTGACAAAGTCTTCTCATTTGAAGAAGTCTCCATTTTCTGAAAAGTAATCTAGGTGTATTTTCACACTTGTATTTGGAACATAAAACCTTAAGTTTTTTTTTGGATGTTGGTGTTGCTTTGGTGAAAGTTAAGACTTGTGATACTTTTGTAGTTGTCTTATCTTTGTATGTGTCAAACTTAAAATTTGTGTTTTTCTGTTTTAGTAGTGAACTTTGTTTGTCATAAAGTTGTTCAAATTGTTTGAACTTGAAAGGTTTTTGGTTTAATTAATACAATCAGATTAACTATGGTAAAATTATTTTGATGGGTACAACTGGTACAACTAAACAAAAGAAGGTATAACTATTATGTTTAAAAACGTGATACACATTTAAAACATGATAAACAGCTAAAGCATTATAACTTATTAACATGTAGTTGCACTAGTATTTTAGTTGTACAATCGTATACATAGTTGTACCGAGTTTTGAGTTGTACAAGTTTGTACATAGTTGTATTTTGATAGAGAATTTGAAATATGTAGTTGTACCACATAGTAAATAAAAAGACTTCAGTTGTACTACTTTTATATGTTTACATACCTTGAATCACATACTATGAAATCATTAGGTTTGTTAAAATAAAATTCGTGTATGTTTTCAAAAAAACATAATGAACAAATAAGTAAACAAACCTTTAAAGTATAAGGTATATAGTGGAAACTTATGTGATTGTTTACTAATTGTGGAAAAAAATTAGTTAAACTTCAAATAATTAGGATAAACCATTCTAAGGACCTTTCAACTTGTTTAGTCTGTGGTTATTTTCATATGTAAAGCCAAATGGATTTTTAAACTTTCTTAATTGAAAAAGTTGTACTATTTGTACCAATATTTCATGTCTGGTATATATAAAGTAGTTGTACTAATCGTACTAGTATTACAATATGATAGCGAAATTGAAAAAAATAGTTGCACCACATTAGAAATAAATATACTTCACTTGTACCACCTCTATATATTTACATGTCTGGTATCACATTATGAAGTAATTAATTTAAAAAATATATTTAGTGTATATTTTCAAAAATATTGTGAACATACAAATAAAAAATGTGTTAAAGTATAAGGTAGATCATGTAAACTTATGTGTTCGTATAGTAGTTACCGAAAAAATTCTTTACAAAATCCAAAATTTAGAAGTGGCCATTCTAACCACTTATCTTTTTAGCCAATTCATTGTTTGTTTCATATGGAAATTTAATAGAGTTTTTAAATTTTTAAATTGACATAGTTGTATCAATGGTATCAGTATTACATGTTTGGTATATAATATGAAGTTGTACCAGTTAAACTAATATTACAGGTCTAGTATATGAGTTATATGCTTAGTTATATGAGTTATACCAGTTGTACCATATTCTATAACACACTTCTTTAGAAATTTCATATAACTTGTAATAACATCATATTAAAATTGTAAAACATTCATTACACTGACTTTAATTTAAACTAACACTTGCAAAGGTTGAGTTAACAAATTAAGTGGATTTTAATAGTTAATTTTAGTTTTTAAGACATTATTATGCATTTACTATTGATTTATTTTAATCATTTTAAATTTTAGTTAAGTGTATTTATATTGTATTTATTTATCTATTTGTAGCTAACATGGTTTAAAGTGCATAATTGAAAAGTTTGGGATGAAATCAGAAAAAAATCTGGTCAATTAGAAAGTTTGAGAACAAATGAAGAGAAGCAAAAGTTTGAGGACTGAAAAAATAAATAATGAAAAATAGTATTTTCCACCAGATTTGATCGATCGCTCATCCATGATTGATTGAAATCTCCTCAATCCATTGTCATTCATGGTTGTCTGAAATCGTAGCTTGCCGGCGGCGAAGGTCTAAGGTCACAGTGACGATGGTGTTACGGATTTGTGGTGACTAGTGTTGGAGGAGAAGAGAAACTCTCAAAAGAATACAACGTCGGTGGAGATTTGAGCAATAGACCATGTGCGACTGCAATTGGAAGAGGAGAAGATGGTCACGACTCACAGAAAGAACTGAAGACACGATGTCGTCAAAGTTGAAGAGTGGAGACGTCTTGTGTTGCCGGAAAAGCTACGAACAGGAAACTGTAAAAATTGAAAGGGATTCACTTTTTTTTTATTTAATTGCTGGAAAAAATAAAAATAAAAAAGAATAAATTTATTAAGGGCAAAATAGATATTTCATTTGAAGTGGGTCATATAGATTAATGTATGTTATAATAGAATACTCTATCAGGGTTGTGTCCTATATTAGATTAATGTCCCAAAAGTATGACATAGTAATAAATGTACACAAAGTTTTGACCTTGTCCTAACTACACACCACCAAAGTATAACAACATGTTTCCATATAAGATGAAAGTTTGAAACTCGTTTCCACACATACCAAGATTTAGCTTGGTTTTAATGGTTTATTGCATGAATCGATAGTAAACCAGTTCGTGTCGGTACACCTCGACCCAAATAAAGATCCGACTATGGTTCGATTTAAACCTGATCCGAAACCCCTTTAAAACACCCAAAATCGAGTTCATGCCTTTGTAACCCTAAAATCAAAAAAAAAAACAGAAAGAGATTTTGTTTCCCAGACCCAGAAAGTATGAATCATTCCAATCTACATTCTCATCAGTTCATGACTCCATTGTTGATTCCTGCAAAACAGAGAGACACTGAGCGACAGACAAAGAGACAGTACGATAACAAGATAGAGAGAGAGAAACATAGAGAGAATGTCAAAATTACATAACTGGAGACAATCGGATGAGCAACGATGTGGAGGAGCAACGACATTCTTCTTCGCGAGAGTTGATGTTTTAGGGTTTCTAATTTGTTAAATCGGGTCATGGGTTGGTTTAGATTGATTTAATCGGGTTTTTATTCTGTAAACGGGTTATAATCGGGTCCTGTTGGTTTAGGTAAGTTAGTCATTTTGTTTAAGTTTAGGTTTAGGGAACACTAACCAACTTTGAACCGCTATTTGTTGGTACTAGATCGATTTTCAAAGTTTAGGGGGAAACGAGTTTCGAACTTTCATCGTATGTGGAAGCGGGTTGGTATACTTCTTCTGTAGTGTGCAATTAAGGCGAGGTCGAAACTTTGTGTACATTTATTACTATGTCATAGTTCTGGTGGGGGAATAGGTCGCCTTTCCTTTTATATTCAGTATCTTTAAAAAAAGAAACAAAATATTGTCGAATTATATTATGTTTTTGAAATTTAAAAATAAAAAATAATATTAGTTACAAAAAAACTAATTTCGTTTAATACTATTATCAAAACACTAAACTCTAAACTCTAAACCTTAAAACCCTTCTGTAAACCCTAAACCCTTGGATAAACCTTTGATCTTTTAAAAAATAATTTTAATACCGTCAACAAAACACTAAATCATAAACCCTAAACCCTTGGATAAACTCTAAACCCATGGATTAATTATAAATCCTAAGGTTTAAGAATAATCCAAAGATTGAGGATTTATCCAAGGATTTAGGATTTAGGATAAATCTTTGACTTTTAAAAAAATATAATTTAATATCATCAGCAAAACACTAAGACCTAAACCTTAAACCCTTGAATAAGCTCTAAACTCTTGGATTAATCATAAATCCTAAGGTTTAAAATTAATCCAAGAGTTGAGGATTTACCCAAGGGTTTAGGGTTTAGGATTTAGGGTTTAGTGTTTTGCTGAAGGTATTAAAATATATTTTTAAAAATGTTTTTTGTTTGCAACTACTATTATTATTATTTTTATCTTTTAGTTTTAAAAACATAATATAACTCGATAATACTTTCTTTCCTTTTATAAAAGATACTAAATATGAAATAATGAAATTATATTGGTTGGTGAACCTATAGATTTCACCCTAGGGGGTGAACCAAAAAATTTCTCAAGGCACGGCCGTCTAACAACATTTTATACTAGAGCGGTCGAACAGGGCCCAAAATCTATAAAAAAAATACTAAGAAATTTTTAAAAAGAAATGCATAAATATTATTTAAAATATCAAATTTTATACATTCCTTGTAAATTTATAGTTTATAATTTAAAGAAAATCGCAAATATTTATATATAAAGATATTAACTTTAAAATTATTCTTACATCACAAAAAGGTAACTTTTTTTTTTAATTGAATATAATTCGAGACGGCTATGGTTGTTTAGATTCCTCTAACAAGGTCTATGAAGACCAAAAAGCTATATATTTCCCATTTGATTTTGAGGCGATTAAAGAGATAAATCTACTTGGAGAGAAAAGAAAAGAGTTTAGCTAATAAAGGAGAAGACCGAGAAGAAAAGAGACATATTAACAAACACAAATAATTTGGCATAAGAGGGTTTTCACTGCTTATTATTCTTGTTGAAACCAACAAACAATTTACGATTTTTTTGTCATTTCTCATGTAATCGTTTTTTATCAATCAATTAACGTCTTTCAAATAATTCACCATTGAATTTGTGTCTTCAACTCGTGCTTTCGGCTTCAGATTAAACAAAAAAATATATGTTGTAAGACTCATGTTGAGATATTTCTAATGCATATGTCTTAAGTGTAAAAGGTACGTACAGCTGATTAAAGTTCAATCACTATAACATGTGTTAATGTGTAGACAAAAACAAATATCAATTTTCAAATACGCATATATGAAATGTATATGTAGTAAATATAATCCAATGAGAATGATATAATCCATACAATTATTAATTAGCAGCATATGTGTGATGAATTAACTTGTACGTGTTTGCATATGATACATCAATATAGTTGTCTCCTTATTGATAGTTTCCGAAATGGCCAACTCTTACGATATTTGTGTACTAATGTTTGCTTTCTCAATTAGGTTGAGTATATTTGTGGAGCCAGACGTGGTGTTGCAATCGCGTGCAAAGGCTTTTCCATCAAAAGGTCACCCTTACTTTCCGAAATGTCGATTTTATCCTCACCATGCACTGATGACCACGTGAAACCTTGAATCAAACGGGCCAGCAGCATGTACGTCATGGCCGACCCAATCTTTGAGCTCATGCACCTTCTTCGCCCTGCGCTGAACGATATTATATTGAGATTCGGATCGTTCAACTCCACGATTTGGTTATCGCCCATATGTCTCTCGGGTTCGTACATGAGCGGTTTGTCCCATACGTTAGGGTTTCTCCCGATCCCTAAACGACTGAGCAGAACGTGGCTTCCTTTGGGAATGAAGTAACCGTCCACCACTGTATCTGCGGTGGACATGTGAGGGAGGTTGAACGGCATGACAGGGTGTAACCGGAACGCTCTTTCACACAAGCCTTGACGTAGTTGAGATTTGAGATGTCGGATTCAAGGACAAGACGGTCTTTTCCAACTACTCGATCGATCTCCTCCACAGCTTTTTGCATGATGCTCGGCTGGTTAATCATCTCCGCCATAGCCCACTCCGCCGCATTTGACGGATTATTCACCGTTGCCAACATTAGTTCCTTCACAACAAATTAAAGTGATTAACCACCAAAAGTATGTTTAAAGAAAAAAAATTGTTTATGCTAAATGGAATTTTGAGGTCATCCTTGTTAGTTATGGAGTGACTTAAATTTAGTGCATCAGCAGAAAAAAAAACACATTTCTGATAGATCATAAAGAACTTTTTTTAAAGGAAAATTAAATGAATATCGGATTTTAAGATTAAACAAAATTAAAAAAAAATATTATTACTTATTCACATAATCATATAAGAATCTGAAATATATATTTGTTTCAATGTGTTTATCTCTCTGAATATTTTTATATTTTTGTGGTTAATTCGTATCAAAAACTTCATTATGCTTCACCAATGTTATAGTCCTATATACTACATTCTACACGCTTGTAAGGGCAACCTCAATAGTGATATTTAGCACTGAAGTTCTCATATATATATATAGTTGTATTTAATTATGGAATTCTTAAATTTACGGGAAACTCAATCGAAAATATCTGTGTTAATATATTTTTGGTTAAGTTTACCTTAAAAATTTCAAAACCCCACAATCAAATATTAATATATATATATATATATAAATATATATATTTTTTTTTTTTGAGAACTCCTATGTTAGAACTCATTATTAGAAGTGCTCTCTACAGACGTCACAAGTATAATATTATCATGTGGAAAGAAAACAGTCTATGGCTAAAAGCCGAAACTTTATTAGTAATAAAATTGAAAGCTCTTTTGACCAAAAATAATGAAAGCTCCACTGTTTAGTATCTAATAATTATGTCGATAATATACATACCGTCACTTGTGCTTTGATCTCTTCGTCCGAAAGAGCAGGCTTCCCGTTGGTGTCTTTGGCCAATATCAACATGTCAAGAAAATCTTTAGGCTCTTTCATCTTCCCATCACGCCATTGCTTGAGTCTTTGATCGACAAAAGAATCGTTATACTTACTTATAATCCTCATTGCGCCACTCACGACCTTCTCATCGCCTTCCAAGTCCAAAAACCGTAGCCACGGGACATAGTCCGACAATGCAAATGCGTAAATATGGGTTAGGACAGTAAACAAAGAATCAACATGTTCAACCTCTTCGAACCCTGGTCCAAATCCATCTTCACTTCCTTTACCAAAATGCCTTACACCAAACATCATCTTCCGAGCTACGTTACCACTGTATTGCCGCACCACTAGCCTTAAATCAATAACCTCAAAACCGTTACCTTGGTTTTTGACACATAGGTTATTGATGTAACGGACAAGGTTATCAGCCTCCTCGGTTATTTTCTCAAGAGTCCATTTAAAGCTCTTCTGGCTCGTCACGTGAGATGCCACCACTCTCCTCATCTTCTTCCACTGCTCACCGTGTGGTTCCACTGCAATGGTTAAGTACCCGCGGCTGCAGTACTCCGTGCCCATAGTTAACGGTCTTGTGGCGAAGATAGAGTCTTGCTTCTTCAGAATCTCTCGTGCAATCCTCGGGGATGTCACGGGAATCACGTGAGTATTGGCGAGACGGATACATGCAATATCGGTATTTAGTTCTTCCATGATGGCGTGTATCCACCTGAACACCGGTTTTTTCCTCCATAGTATCTCCGGTAGGTTTCCGATTAGAGGCCAAGATTTTGGACCCGGAGGGAGAAGAAGGAGGTTTCTTGTGTAGGAGGTCATTAACTTCGGCTCTTTAAGCTTCTTCATCGTTAGTGCAACGATGAGAAAACCTAGAATAAACGCGAGAAATGATGTGGAGTCGAGCATTGTTGCCAAGAAACGGCAACGACACGATCGTGTTGTCATCTGTGCATGGAAGTGAAATGTGCTTTAAATACTGGAAGAAAAGCAATCGCGGTTTGGCAACAGCTCATGCATATATATGTATAGTTGTAGAACATGTTAGCTATCGAATAGATAGATTATACACCAAATTTTTTAATAGGTGTAAGCCGTGACATCATTTTTAGCCAGCCAAATAGAAAAGCATTAGTACAGTTGATGTTGAACGTTTCCATACTCTTCCAGCAAGTAGGAATCACTAAACCACTACCACCACTTAATAATGTTTCTTTTCTTGCAGAGATATTTATTATATTCGCCTAAACTCTATGGAGAAATTTTCTTCCTATTCCATAACAAGGTGATATATTCTCTTTATATTATTTGAGGAGCACTTTTAATTTTAAACCTTTTGTTCATGTGTTATTAACAGAACTAGGGTCTTTGTCCGGGCTAGATCCGGATAAATTTCTTCTTATAATTTTTAAATAGTTTTAGTTTGTTTTTCTTTTATAAAATTATGTATATATATATATATATATATATATATATATATTATTTCAAATTTGACTATCAAAAATATAAATAATAATACAAAAATTAATTTCTTATGTTTTCCAATGAATTTAAGAAAAAAAATAAACTCAGGGGTTGATTAGTAATAGTGGTAAATGTTTTAGACATCCACTTTTTTCTAAAGTATTCTTTTTTAATATGTTTTAGCTTTTAAAGTTAAAGATACAGTATAAAGTTTCAAATATATATATATATATATATATATATATATATATATTAGCTTTCAAAATCAAATTTTCTATAAATATAATTTAGTACTTTGAAAATAAATATATAGCAGAGAAATTAAAGTCGAAGCAAAAAATTCACAGTTTATTTCTAAAGTAAAAACAAAAACAAAAACTACAAATCAACCAATCAACCCCTCAATCTTTGTTTTTTATTTATTATGGAGATTAATGAAAAGTGATGAATAGTCAATATTCATAAGTTTCAGATAAAATCTTTTGTTTCATATAAAACAATTGGTAAATCCAAATTTAATTTAAAACTTTTTTATGTATTTAGAATTATTGATTTTATATTTTCAATTTATGCCCTTTCTAATGATAAGATTGTAATTCATATGTCATGTTACCACCTTGCAAGATTATTTTAGAGAAGGCAGCCACACGCTTTATATATTTATATCGTTCTTCATGGCTCTGAGGAGAAGTCCAATAAGCATTTCAGCCTGAAATGATCAAGAATGCAAAATTATTAATCAGGGTTATGGAAAAAAAAAGATTTGGTTCATGGCAGGGAATGTTTACCAAATTGTAAGGATAATGATGCAGTCATGAACTAAGAAAACAATGACGTGATGGAAAGTAAGGAAACAGAAGATAAAAAAATTGAGCTTGCCTTGGAAGTATTCATTGCCGAGGAGAGAAGAAGTTTCGAGTACAATGCACGGTTAAATCTGTCACAGACAATCTTATTCTTGGATGAGATTTTGTCAAGATGCACCAGTGATTGAACTCCCACATTGAAATTTTTCGAGTGTACCTGCATACATTCAAGATTTCATATTCTTGATTTTGTTGCAAATTCTGAAACAAAACTTATATGATGCGGCTTTCTGAAGTTACCAATTTAAAAAGCACCGGCGTCTGGGATTCAATTATATCATCGGCCCCGTCAGTGTAAACATATGGAAAAGCTTTGTTAACTCCCAGCAATGATACATATTAAGTATAAGTTAATCTGTAAATTACATATTTACATATGCTGTGTATAAGAAACATATCCAGACCAACCGTAAGTAGAGCTGATAGAATTCTGGAATCCAATTCAACAGGTGAATCAGAGGACTTTTCTTCTTTTGTGTCCTTTGAGTTGGCATTTTTCTTATCAGCTGCTTTTTCATCTATGTCTGGTTTCCGATTTGCTTATGTGGTTAAAACCTACAAGAAGTGAAACACATTCATATGTCTCAGACTCGGAAGATGTCATGATATGACTATTGACATGAAAGAAAGAGAACATTAAGAGGCAGTAGACGTCTCAGAGATCATGAAAAAGAAGGTGGGAACGGAGGGACAAAAACTTTGTGAAGATCATAAAAAAGTTTTATTCCTCACTTATATCAAATTTAGATGCCAGTTACATACCTTAAACAGAGCAAAATATACATCAATTAGGCGTTTTGCCACCTTCAGATCATCTCCTTTGTGGCTCAATCGAATCTGACTCAGAAAGTTAACCTGTAAAATTTACAAGGGTTAATAATCATGGTTTCAGAAAATCTGAACATGAAGTCTCAGTAAATTATTTCCTGTCAATGCAAAATAATCAACATATAATAATTTAAGACGACGATAACCGCAAAGCAAATATATAAGTAAATTTTTAGAAAAAGTATATAAAAGGACATATAGTGTGATACTTTGCACGTAGCCCAAAAGAGAAAGGAGTCAAGTTCATCAATCACCACAAGCTGGAAAAAATAAGCATACCTTTAAGCCAAAGAAAAGACTCCAAATTACCAAATAAACAACGAAACGTGACACAGGACATAAGAAGGTTGAAAGCAACACCTTCATATTAGGATGATCAGCCAAAAGGTTTGTCAGGTGAAAATCAGCATTAGATGCACTTTGTTTTGAGAATCTCCCAACTGTGTAAAGTAATACACGGAACAATTAGAGAGATCACAGTTGATAAAACATTATTATATATGTCTACTCCAAAGACACAAGCAATTTGCGCTCCTGTTCTGTTTTGCTTGTCAACATGAAGTATATAGTCTAACACCAAAACAAAAATCAATAAACAATTGTATATATTAGAAAACTGAGACCTCTGCCAAAAAATCATACGTCATCCAGAGAATTGTATTACATTGCTAACACTCAAATGCAATCATAAAAACAGATGGTTGGGTAAATACGATATACATTTAAAGCCTTGTCTTTTAGCTCTAGAAGCATATTCTTAGATGATTCATCAAGGGCGTTGACAAAGCGCTCATACCTACAAAGTCAAAATATTAAAGCCAAATACCAATACACGATGCAGAGCTTGGACACATCGCTCGTGATATGATTTAAGCAAACTACATTTTGAAAAAATATCTGAGAGAAAATCTGAGAGAATTTTATCAATCTTATTCGAAACAAAAGCTAAGAAAAGAGATTTATAAGTAGAAAAATTGTGAGGAAGATGAAAAGAATCCATTGAATGAGTTCAAGAAAGGAGTAATTAAGGTAGATAATGGTCAAGTTATTAGTTGAAACGGATTTGGAGAGAAGAGCAATGGAAGATGTGGAAACCGGAAAGTAAAGGGGAAGTCGGAAAATATGAGAAGACAGAAGAAATTATGGTTTAGTTCTACAATTTTGTCTCTGGACACAAAACCAATGACATGCCGCAACCAAAAAAAAAAAGCAAAGCCCAAAACAAAAACAAAAACAAAAACAAAAACAAAAACAAAATAGAAGGGAAATGACGTAGATGATTGTTATAATATTATTGGTTGATTATTTTAGTTGAGGTGGCATATCTAAGAGGGCTTCTTATTGTCCTTTTAATAGTGTTAGATTAGATTGTCATTACTTACGTGTCATCATGAGAGGGCTTTTCACACTCATTTTAAAACAAGTATTTCTTGCCTAGAGAAATTACAAACAATGCCATTGATCATTAAATATGGACAATTGTTATAATATATGTTTTTTTCTTCTATTATTTGTGTGCATTCTTTTTATACCATATATACAAATACGAATATATCACCATTTACGTAAGAACACGAATATATCACATTTTCTGTTCATTTTTTTTGTCTTCTCATGCCAGCACATATGACCGTTTTATGGAAAACCTATACCATACATCGTCCACCTATATACATTGCATATTGATTCATGTTTTTCTGAAAACCATTGAAAATGTTTATATCTTATCGAGCTCAATTTGATTATGTTTGTTCAAAGTATTTTTTTTTGTATGACTCGACAATTAAACTATTTCACTTTATTTCAAGGACAATGCAGCTCCATAGTTCGCAAATATGATTGAATCAACCGTAGTATTTTAAATATTGAGAATTCTTATGAACATGTTTTTTTTCCTTTGTATGCCTCAGACGATTAAACTATTTCACTTTATTTCAAGGACAATGCACCTCCATATACTTAGCCCTTATGCTATAAACTTATATTATGGAAGTACATAAATAGTTTAATCAACCATTTCATTTTTTAAAATGCACCATTTTATTTGTTTCATGTTTTAACTTGATGTACTTGATTCGTTTTGTTGATTTAACAATTGACCGTAATTAGTGAAATATTCAAAACACAGAAAACTAAAACACTAAATTAGTTCAAACATAATTAAAAAATAATCACAAAATTATAGGGATTTGTTTTCCATTAATTTCTCGATTGCATTTATTGGATTGACTCAGTAAGAATCTACTAAACCCTACCAGAGAGTCGTATATATATCATAGTCATATTTAATATATAGAATCACAATTTTGTTTTCTGCAAAAGAACCCAAGATAAGCGACTACTATCAGAATCAAGAAGAAAAAGATTAAAAAATGGCTGAAGAGACGGACGTATTAATGCAATTTGTCTATGTTTGGTTTGGCTTTATGTTTTGTTTTTGAATTCTCATGGTTTGTTTTATTGTCAGCAGATGTTTTCCGCCGTATTAATTGAAAGCCTCATTTTAAGATATTAGTGAGTTTATATTGTTTTTGCTTTTCAAATATAAGGAATCAAAAATACCTAATTTATTAAATAAGAAGTTGAATGATAAGTTAGATGAATACAACATAAATCATATATATTAAACACTTATATAACTATATGTTATATATCCCTAAAATATAACTTATCACAACATAATTTTGATTT